AAAGACATGAATTTAAAACTTTTAATGCTTTTGAGTGTACTTGAAATCACTGTATTGGCTCATCTACACTTTACAGGAATTTCAAAGTCCACACGCCTCGTAATGAATTTTTTAATTGGATTTGGATGAGTCAGCCATAATTCATCCAGCTTAAGCAACTTCAGAAAAGCTAGCTTTTCTCATGCTTTTTTTTTTTTTGTGCATGTCACACATGTAACGTACATAATTAAGGATAATTACAGCAGTCAGACAGTGACATCAGCCACACCCACAGGTGTCCTGAGTGTCAGGAAGCAACACTGTCTGAACTCTTCACTGGTTGTTTATACATTTCTATAGACGTTACACCATCATAATTGAAAGAAAACTTGCAATTCAGTTCATTCAGGAGAATTTGTGTGGTTTCCAGCTCGCTGCTTCATTCACAGGAGATAATTAGGTGGATTTTGAGCTTTTCTTTCCGTGCTGTGATTGGTCATTTCAGCTTCTGACAGACCCATAAGTGTCTGCTCCTGGCCTTTCACTTTCAGTCAATTTATTTGGCTCCCCGGTGACATTACTCGAACGTTTTCAGTTCCTGAAAGGGAAGAACTCAGAGCAATAGTGGCCTCACTTTGTTCGTAAAAGATGTTCATCATATTTCTGCTTTCCTGTTTGACTATAATAGTAACTGCAATACCGGTAAGAAATAATAACGATAATAATGAAATGCCAGCATATTATCAAAAGCTTAATTGAACATGCAACTTCTAATTATTTTCTTTAACAGGTTAGTCCAAGTACTCGTCCTCTGCAGCCATCACAGAAGGGACTCAGTCATGGAAGTCAACCTGTTGATGCCACAATCAGGAAACCTGAGGCTCAGGTGGACCCGTCTCTTCCTCACAGCTTGGACCAACCACAGCCTGGAAATCCCCAGCATCCGGATCAAGAGGCCAACAACCAACAACAGGCCAACAACCAACAACAGGCCAACAACCAACATTCATTGCAGCATTACGCATTGTTTCCACAAGGGGGCAGCCCAGTGATGTTCCCCAGTGGATTTCTACCGCCTAACCAGCTGACCCTTGCTCAGCAGCCTATGGTAAGAAATAACAACGTTTACAATACAATTTAGACTGAAGGAGGTTTCTGATTTTTTCTGCCTTGTAATTTTAAAACAATAAATCCAAACGGTGTCTGTGTTCTTTCCATTCTTCTAACTAGATTTTTCCATCGTACGGATTCATGCCTGTATTCCCCTCACCCTATAGCAATCAGCTGGTAAGATATCATTAGCAAACACACAGGTTGTGCCTTCAGCAATATCCCACACATAGTTTAAAGTATTGCATGTGCTCACTATAGATTGAAGTTCAGAAAAAAAATTCCCAGCACAACTTACTTTAACCTGAAAGATTTCCCCTGTGGGTGTCTTGAACAGTTTTCAACAGTTTAATGAAAGTTTTTTTTTTTTTTTTTTTTTACTTTTTAAATGGCTCTAAAAGGAAACCAGAGACAACCTCAAACTCTCTCACTGGAGACAGTGTTGTGCAAATACAGACATCTGTCTCTAAACATAATTACTGGTTGATTTACGGTGCCGAGACAGCAACTAACATTTTAATGCCGCAAGTGCTGATTATTTAACCTCCTAATTCAGAGTAATGTAGCACAATTAAAGTCTTTGTGTACACAGTGCACAAGTCATGAACACAAACTAAACCTTGCATGCATTTTCTCTCCCGCAAAGTTCTCCCCGTATGGATTCCCGAAGGTTACCGAGTCTCACCTCCCTCAAGCTCCAATAAATCAGCTCACCAACGGTCCTGTGCTGCCAGCAGAAAATGCTGCAGGGGCAGCTGCACCCTCCGTAGCTGCAGCTCAACAAACACAACAACAGGTTCCTTAATTTGACATGACTGATCCCACGGAGTAATAAATATTGACTTTATTGGAAGTTAAAAGTGGAGCTGCATGATCAGACTGTCAAACTCTCTTTCACAGAATCCCCCAGTCGTGTACATGCTCCAGCAACCCATGGTAGATATGAATTGGTGTTTTTATGCTTGGATGACGAAACAGCTGTTGTTGCCTCTCAATTGTTTGCCAGATCATTTTTCATCTCACACAAGCTGTCATTGCTTTCTAGAATCCCTCACTTGGAGGTCTCAGCTCAGAGGAACTGGAGGTAAATCAGCCAAGATTTTTGACTGACTCTCAACATGTGCAAACATTTTGTTTCAGTGAACTTGATGATCCCAAATCCCAAAACTGCTTCCCCTTCCATGTGCCTTATACTATCTATACATTATTCTCTGTTTCAGACAGCAGCAAAACTGAGCCAGCTGGGTATGTTTATGCCCACCATGCTTGCGAACCTTCCCGCTGGAGCAGCAGCAGCAGCTGTTCAGGTGCAGAGTCAGTTCGCCGGAATCACAAACCCAGACCAACGGGCTGCCGGACAAACTGCAAGGACCTCAGTTTCTGGAGCCCAACCATTACAGGGTGTACCTTGCTCTGGATCACGGCCGAATGTCAACAACACGCCCACCCGTCTGAAGAGAGCAGTGCGTGAAACTCCCGCAGTCCGATCAGCGGATCAACCCAAACTCCGGCCCACGCAGAGAAAACTGGCTTAATAAAACCGCAGCAGCTACTAAAACTTACTTATGATGTTTTAAAATATCAACTGCAAAAAATAAACGGCTAGCGATTTATCAGTAGGGTGTCTTTAGAATATGCCTAACCATTGTTGGTGTTTTTTGCCTTCAGTACGGTGTTTTTATATATTAAATAAAGAAGACAATCAGAGACTGACTCTGTCTTTCAGTGCTGCCCTGTGTGCTACTATTTCATCAATCTGCTTTCATTTAGTTTCAACATACATTACATCATTTTGACAGACTTTGATTGGGTGAACACCAATGCTACTTCCACATGTTGCAAAATTCACAAGCAGTCTTAAAAAATGTCCTTTATACGGAGTCCTTCGTTTGCTCTTGTGGCTCCAGGTGTTTGACTCCTTTTTGAAAAGAAAAGAAAGGAAAATAAAAAAAAGATCTTTTTATAACTCTTTCCCTCAGTTAGTAGCAAGCTGTTAATACAGATTGTGCCTGGTGCTTGGCAGAAGGGCGACAGATGGTTTTTAGAGGATTTTTTGTAAAAAAAAAAAAAAAGGTTTTGTCTGGGAGGAATTAAAAGCCTGGAGCTTTATTAGCTAACTAGTTTAGAGAACTTTTCCTGACTTACTAACACCTTGTCTTGTTAGAACCAAAAAACTTAGATTTATTTTCCTGGGATTGTATATTATTGACCAATGCAAGATGGACCCTATTTCTGAAGGAGAAAAAAGGATAAATGGTCTTATTGGACTTTGTGAGATGTCAAACGGTTTGGTTAATGTTTTCTCATGATCTAACTCATCTTTGTCAACAACTTTATCGCTGGTGGATTTCTTGTTCTTGTGATGCTTTGTCACTAATGTTTTCTAACAAACCTGTGAGGCCTGGTTGCATTTTCATTTGGGCGTCCCAAAGTAAATTGAGGAATATACACATTTTCAGTTGTTTAGTGGTCTTACACATTAAACAATGTGCAAACCATGTATTATTTTCCTTTTTTGTTCCAGTTGTGCTCTACTTGTGTTTGTGCTTCATTTAAAATCTCAATCAAACACATTAAAGGTTTTGGCTGAAATGAGACAAAGTGATACATTTGTAAGGTATTGTAAATTTAAATGATCAAACTAAATACTACTTGAAACCGGCAGAGCAAATTGCTTCTTGGGTAATGAAAATTGATGTCTCATTTTTGTTAACCCAGAGTCATCTTTTGTCTCATCTTGTGAGCTGAATCTATCATTACGCACCTACTTGTTAGTGGATTTTAGGGCATTTACCCTCAGTAGGCCTCACCTCAAGTCTTCATTCAGTTCCAGTCCTGGTTGGAGGTTAAACCTGTGTGGAATTTCACGATCTCCCTGCATGTCTATTAGTTTGCCCCAGATACTGTGGTCCCCCCCCACAGTGTGAAACCAAACAAATTAGCTTAATTGGCAACTCCAAATTTACCGTAGGAGTGAATAATTCAATGTGTGTGTTAGTTTGTTTTGAAAATCTTTACGGCGACTGAGCAATGGACCTGTCTGGGATTTCCATAACCTGTTGCCCATTTACTGTCAGTATTGTACTCAGCTCTGAATAATCCAAAACAGATACAGTGGGCAGATGAAGGAGACGTACATCGATGGGCATGCGCATCATAAATGCATGTCTTATACAGACTTTATTGAGTGACATATGTATATTGTGGTTGCGTAGACTTGAGCCTGTGGATAAATCAGTCTGATAGAAAACACATATTTTCCTAAATAAACCAAGTGTCAAAGGTCATAGGTCCTAATCCCAGCCTAAACTCTTGGTGCCTGGATTTTACTTGTTCTCTCCAAACATGTATGAGTTCTCTCTGGGTCATTTGGTTTTTTTATAATGTTTAACAGACTCAACAATTGTAATCATTGTACCATTGTCAATATTTTCCATTAGTTTTTGACAAAAACAACAGTGATAGTTAAGAAGAATAAAAATGTTTATATATTAGAGTCATATTTTCACACTTTGGACTTGGGGTTACTGGGTTCTTGCACTTCTGTACCTCATAAATTACACTGCTGAAGGATCATATGTCATAAATGTGTGCTTCAAGCCAAAAATGTGTTAAAGGGGTTTCTCCCAGAGACAGAGCTGTCAGTGATGTGATCATAAAATTAAAACTCTTTGGCTTATTACCAATGCCTGTCAAAAGTCTGCAAGGTCTTTGTTTTGTCAGCAAATAAATAGGAGCAGATCTCCCTCTGCTCATCACACATCCTTCTCCAGGAATACTTCTTTACTCACAAGTGGACGGATAGGAAAGGTAAATCTCTTAAAATGAAATAGGATTACTGAAGGATTTGTTGCATAATTTCTATATTTTATTCTTTTAAAAGTTCTGTATTGAATATACTAGCATGGAATAATCACAAAATAATTGTTTCCACAGCTTAATTCAAAATGAAGCTCATTCTGCTAGCAGCCTGCATCATTGGGATGGCTTCCAGTGCTCCTGTAAGGGAAACACACATTTGTTCCTCAAATTTGTACCGTATTTTTGACATAAAACTTTTGCAGTACAACCAACTAAAAGTCCAATTACACAGTACCTTGTCTTATAGGAATGATTTCCCATATTTTTCTTGCTAATGTCTAAATTACCTTTTTTTTTTAGCATTTTAGCTCAACTATTTTTGATTTGCATAGCAATGAGCCTGTACAAATGTGTGTATGAATTTCCCACCAAACAGCCTCAGATGTACATGGAGTTTGACCTCCACTATGCCCCTCCTCAGGTAAAAACAAATGTTTTGCAGCGACTGCAGCATAGATTTTCCTTCCCTTCCAAATGACCCAGTTAATACTGTGGACCTATTCTTCACAGGCGGCCCAAGCAATCCCTGCCGGAGCCCCAGTGGGGTCCCTGGAAGTTGTAAGAACAACATGTTATTATTTCATCCTTTCAACACAAATTTACACCTGGCGATTACTCTTTTATGTGATAATTGTGGCTATTTCCAATTTTCAGCTGCTCCCAGTTAACAACCAGAGGCAATATGTTGGAGGACCAGTGAGTGACATTTTAAAGCTGGATATTAACAGAGCCGCATTTGAACTTTGTAGTTAGAATCGTGGGGGGGGGAAAGAAGTCTCGAACAAAAATCTAAGTAAAAGTTTCGCTGTTCTTGCATTGCTGTGGCTTAGCCGCACACATTAACCCCTAAATGAACTTTCTCTGGAAGGTCCAAGGATTCATCAAGCAGGAGATCCACAGGGCAGATGGCAAAGACGATGAGATTGTAAGAGCATTTAACATCTTCCTGACTGAAAGTTGTTGCAGAATGTTTGTCGTCGTACTCGTCTCATTTCATCGCCGTCCGTTTCAGTACTACCCCTTTGGGTTTGACCGGCCAGCTCCAGTTGCCCCTGCCCCTGCTGCCCCCGCGGCCCCTATTCCTGCTGCCCCTGCTGCTCCTGTAGCACCAGTTGCTCCTGTTGTTGTTGTCGCCGCACCCGTAAGAGCTGTTTAAGTATTCTATCTGGACATTACGTCTGAATGGTTTCATACGTTTCGATAACAGCACCACAAGACATATTTAAAGAGATGGAGAGGCGAGTAGGTTCATTCAAATTATTCTTGCTTGGGAAAAACATAGAGCCCATTTTTTGCTGAGCTTTCTAGAAGAGTTGTCTCATCCTCCCTACTGATTGGCTTACGACAAGCCTCTGTGATTTCAGGTTGCCAAACCCAGTGATGATGACGAGGAAGATGACTAAAAAGGTCTGAGTCAGCAGCAGTTGTGCTCATGTGTGCAGAAAGAGGTACGATGCACACAGGCACACACAGAGGAAGAGACAGTTTATACAATGAACTGTTAATGAAACGTTTGTGTCATATGCTTAAATTATTTTCACAGCTGACTTTGTTTGTTTGTTTCTTTTTTTTTTTTAAGACGAGGAAACCAGGAACCAGCTCAGATGAATAGAAACCAGACAACGATGCTGCTTTTCAAAGCTTCTAACAAATTTGGTGCTATGCGTTATGGACATCTTTCCAGTCCAGATGGTGCTTTGTTTTCTTCCTCAACAAAACAAACAAATGTAATGTGTTGAAATGTAAATTGGTGGTTTGCTGTGAAATATGATTGTCCTATTTTTCCAATATTCCTCTTTGTGATCTTTCTATTAAGGAAGCTCAGAAAATAAATGAAATGAATGCATTAATCAGTGTCCTTGTGTTGTTTTGTCTTCTACAAATAACTACATATAGGAAAATAAGAAGGTAATAATATCAGTAAGTTCTTAAATCTTTCACATAAAAAAAGGTTTTTGTATGCAATAACCTTGATTTTTCTTTAAGAATTGGCCCGACAGATTATTTAATATAGTTTGAATAAAACTGAATTTTTGCTTCATGAGATTCATGATTAGCAAGTCTTTGTTTTCAGACCACAGACATTAAATTGTATCTGGTCAGTATTTACTGTATTTCATATCAGCGCTTTTCTATTTGGAATTTAGAGAACAAAAGTGACGCAGAAATATATTTTACATTTTCTGAGTAAACATGTCTTCTGCTCTCATGGTAAACGGCTTGTCTCTCATAAAACCTTTCACTGTAAATCTTCTTCCACTGTTGTGTCTCATAAACGACACTGCTGATTGATAAAATGTCATAAAAGTGTGTTTCAGGTTAATAAGGAGTAGGAATGTTAGCTGTCAGTGTTGTGACCATAAATAATAAATCTTTGACTTATCTCCAACCGTCACATGTTAACACTTATGTTTTATTTACCATGTTATAAGTAGAAGCAGCTGTGCAGTCAATCAGATTAGAGATATATGGCACTATTTATGTACTATTCATCACTTGGATGTTTTACCCCAATCAAGATGTGCCTTTTAGGATGAAAATAAAAAATGCAAAGAAATCTCTCTAATGTCGAAGGAAAAAAAAAAAAAAAAATTAAACTTTTGCAAAAAGAAAAAAGAGCATTCTTGTTATGCTTCATTTTTCAAAAATACTCCTAGCATTGCATTTTGTCTCTTTCTAAATACACAGAACAAATAAAACAACACACTGATACGAATTTATGCCACACTATTTAAAGTCTGTGTGTAAACTAAAGTGCCTGTCAGGCGCAGCTGGAACATGTTGTATTAATAACAATTTGCCATGTAAACTGCAGAGGTTTTATCTCGATTCTGATTTCTTCATTAGTAAGTCCGAACCCCATGAGCAACAACATCTGACTTATAGTAATTCCAAATCATATGAAAATACATTTATTTCTATAAAACAATGAAATCCAACACTCCCTATGGCTGAGAATGCAGGTTGAGGTGAGTGAAGGTGCAAAGCCACCGACTGTGTAATCAAACTGACTCTACTATTACTCAGAGAGTGGATTGGGCCACTGGTCATTTAGTTAAGCTGTGGGCCAGACACCTGATCTGTACTCCCTCATTGGGAGACTTCACTGCCTTCGGCTGTAATTAACCGTTTGGTAAAGGGACACCCTATAAAAGTCAAACCTGCTCTCTCTGAGCTACAACACAGTCACTTAGCATCCTCTGAGTTCAACATTTCATCTTCTCTCTCTGGTTTGGTTTCATTGCAGTGGGTGAGTACATGTATACCTGGCTAACAGAAACCAACCATCCTGTGTGACTTTTGTAGATTTTACAACGGTGAATGTTGTGTTTTCAGAGTGAAAATGAAAGCAGTCTTCCTGTGCCTATGTTTGGCTAGCACTGCCTGTGCTGTGCCCGTAAGTCTTAGATTTTAATTTTTAAACAGCAAAAACTTTAAAACTACTACACAAAATGTCCTGCAGTCACTTCTCTAAATGTTTTTGTTTCTGCATTTAGTTTCAGTACTTGCCGCATTACACGGGGTCTAGACCCCGGCAACTGGCGACACAGGTAAACATGCATACTGTGTGCTGAGTTTGTTAAACTCTTCCTCTATAGTTTCATCTTAAATGCTTGATGAAACTTTAAGAAAATAAATATCATGTAAGCTGAATTTTTACCAATAAAAGTTGTTTTTGTTTTTTTCCCCTCCAACTTTCATGCAGATTAAATCGCCTTTTGCTGGTGGTTTCCCACAACCTGCAGGCCCAGGAGTTTATAGTGTGGAATTTGTAGGTCCCAATTCTTTAATGTTATGTTTCCTTTTAACTGTAAAAATCAAATTATTACATTTTCACTTACAGCATGTATGTGCACTTTGTGTGTTTTACCAAGCTTCCATACATGTTTGGTGCTGGTGCAGCTGGAACAAATCAAGGACAAGTAAGAGTTTTCTCACATGCATGTAGATGTGCTAATCTATGACAACAACTGTTTTTACTTTTCACTGATTTTGTTTCAACAGACCTTCCCTCAGTATGGTTTCATCAAGTACTCCATCCCACAGCCTCCTGGCAGACAGAGCGTAGAAGTTGTATGTGCTGATCTGTTACTTTTTGTATTATGTGTGGCATACAGTGCGACTATTAACATTTTTGTGGTTTTGTGGTTTTATATTTGCAGTTCTACCCTTATGACTTCGCTAAGAACCAAGTAAATATTTTGTGTAACTTAATGAATCCTTACAAACCTAATAATATGTACAGTGCAGGATTCTAAAAGCAGGTTTATTTTTGTTTCAGATAATTCAGAACTCTGCTCCTCTGCCAAATGGGCCCGGTCTGCAAAATGTAATATATATTTTTTTTATTATTTGATTTTCCCCTATTGCTCTCCAAACACATCATAAACATAAATTGTATGTGCTTTTTCTTCAGTTGCCCCCATTTAGATTTCCTCCTCAAGGAATTCCCCAGCAGCCAATGAATGTGAGAACAGAGTATTAGTAATATACATTCTATAATGTCTCTCCACATTCTGCTTCATGTGTATCTGTTTTTGTTTTTTGTTTTTTCTTAGATGCCAGCTTTTGATGTCAATGCCCAGCCATCGCAGGATCCATTGCAGAAACTGCAGCAGGACAAACCTGTGCAAACAAGCCAGGTGACCAAACTATAAATCACTGCACTAATTAACTTTGCACCGTTAATAAATGTTCACAAAAGTTGCACAAGTATGCATGAAAAAATAATTGGATGCTATTTTTCTGTGTTTTCAGGCACCTGATAAAGCGTGAATGAGTGAACTACGTCAAACACTGATACTTGGTTATAAAACTGAAGAATCATCTTGAAGTAACATTTTAGAAGATTAGCAAACTATGTTGATAACCTCTGTAGATACCCGAGAAGACTTTAAATTATCTTTAATTTTTTAATAACAATAGCTGTTTTAGAATTATTGACTGTGATACGATGTTACACCCAGCATGCTGTATTTTCACAGTGTCTATGTTCTTCCCTTTTCTTTCCTCACTGCTGTTTTCTTTTTAAAAATAAAAAGTTTTAAGCAAATCCCCGTGAATACTACTCTTTATTTGGAGAGTTCATTTAAAGCGTTCTTATTTGCATCTGTGTTTTGGCTTTAACACACGTTGATGTTTTTCCCCACACGTTTTCACATTGAGGGTATGTCATTTTATGTATTTTATGTATTGGGATTTATAAAGAAGTCAGAACCTACAAGTTTGGTATGACAAATACTGTGAATACTTTTATAGGATGGGTTAATACTTGCTGAAAAATGTATCATTCTTATTCACTTTTTTCTATTTAGAGGTTTGAAAACAAAAAAAAAAATGTTGCCAAAAATGATTATTACCAAAATAGTTTATTGGAATCTATTGCATAAACAGAAAACAATTCAAATTTATGATGGGGAAACAAAGGACATTTATCACGTCAAAATATCAACATGCTCTTAAAAATCTAAAACTATTCTAAACATGGTATGCGCAACACAGCAAAAGCATATTTGACATCTTGTGTGCTGCAGGATATTAGGCTTACTATAAACAGCTTCAATGGTTTAGCAGATTTCCCCACAGTGAAATTTTACTGTTGTGAAAACCGTAACACCACCAAGGGAAAAATCCATCAAATAACTGGCCCCCTGAGGATGAAAGCCTGTTGCAACATGACTTTAAAGCTTACCTCTTAAAACGCACCAACAAAAGAGACAGGCGCCTTCCACTCACACTACTCAGTCTCTTCTTTACATGTTTTCTTTCCTGGAAAATCATAAACATCTGTCAGTAGAGAGAGTGGAAGTGTTAAAAGCTGATTTGAAACACTTTATTATTTACCCAAAGTGGTTCCTCTTCTTTTTAGGGATTTGTTATTGAATGAAACAATAAAAAAAGAAAAGCAGAGTGTAAAAATTGGTAATCCAACCCTCTACCCCAGATTTCCCCCCCGAGCAAACAAACAGGTAGCATATTCCTGTTAAACATATATATTTACATTATTTCAACTGTGACACTGAGAAATATTGTTCAAAATTATAGACACAATGAACAACAAATGGAAGAAATATTAGCTTGAGAGCCTTTTTACACATAAGGATATAAAATTAAAATGTATTATGATAATTTGATGTCCCACTTAGCATCCTGAACGACAAATCTCTTTCTGAAAACATGCATCAAAAAAGACAAATAATGATAATTACATACTATTGCCCCTCTGTGGAGCAAAGCAGAGTTTAATTACTATGGTGAATTACAAGTACTCCTGTTGGAACAGACAATAATATCTTCCTCACCTCATTAAACTCACAAAATAATCTGAGTGTGGCAGCACAGAAGGGCTTTGAAGAACTAAAGAAGTGATTGTTATCTATCAGAGGAACTCATTATCTCAGCAGATTTCAGTCAAGACTGTCTGGGATGAAGTTTGACAGATTACACAGTAAATCTTAACGTATCTGATCTGAAACAAAAGAGAAAAGGGGGGGGAGGGGAGTATGAAGACTTCCAAAGCTAAATAAAAAATATATATATATTTTTAAAAACCACAAAGGTTTCTTTAACTACAGGGGAAAACAAACTCCTCAGATGTTGACTATTTGTGCTAAACAAGTGTTTTCATGGAAAAAGCTGGAAATACACATGGATTATCAATGAATGTTACTTCAAGAGACCAGCCCTTTGAACAGTGGATTATAAATACGGTAACTTCCACTAAATACAAGACCCAGTAGTTTTACATTTTATGCTTTACTTACTATTTTGGGATTTGTTTCTACGAGTATTTTATTCCTTTCACTAAGAAAGGCTGGCTCTGGTTTTAGTTCAGGTTTGGGCTTAGACAGACATGTCTCATGATTTTTTAAGGGCTTGTAAACAGTTAACACCAGTTTCCACAGTCCAGACCGATTTCTTTTTAAATATTGTCCATGTGCAGCAATTTGTGTGAAATAAAGTTAGCGACATTTCATTATAACCCCACTGCCTGTGAAAATGTGGTAATTGTTCTGATTCTGTCTTATGGATACTTTTGAAAACATTGACTAGAACATCCTAATGAGGAAATCTCGAGTGCATTAAAGACTGCGTTAGATTTGTTTGTACATTATAAAGAAAGTTGACTTCAGTTTTTATTTCTGAGTCAGTCTGTAATGTCCCCGTTTTCTATATGGCATCCCCCTCTTCCTACTTTCTCCATATTTTTTCTTAGGGCAATAAAGAAGAGCATGTTTGCTAAGCAAACCTGCACAGCATGTAATTAACAATAACAAGGGCCTCAGCCCCACATACCATCTTTTTTTTTTTTTTTTTTTTTTTTTTTAGTTTTGACATGTAAGAATCTTCAAACACACAGCTGTGCATGTTTTAGTGGATGTGATTGGCTATTAGAGGATATAAAGGGCATCCATGGGAGGCATAAAGTAGACTTCATTCCCCACTGAGGAGGCACGTGTTCAAGTTTTTGCAGTTCCAAAGAAAAAAAAAAGGTGAGTTGAATTTTTATCACTGAGCTCATTGTTGACTCTTGCAGTTCTGAATTACACAGCAAATGATCTTCTATCAAGCTATTTCTTGAACATGTTATGATTCCACTGTTTTCGTTTAAAGTCAATGAAACAGGAATTGTTCTATATTCTTTCCTACATTTTTCTTTAACAGTCATCACAATGAAGCAGGTTTTAATCTTGCTGTGCCTTCTGGTCTCCGCCTTTGCTGCCCCTGTAAGTCTCGCCAGTCTCACTGTTTGATATATTTAACTTTTAAAGACTGTTGTTCTTCCAGACTAATTAATGTCTGTTCACATCCCTGCATCAAACTGTAGGCACCAGGCAGTGAGAGTAGTGAGGTAAGAGGATTCCTCTCCTCCTTTTCGGTTCAGTTTTGGGTCCGACTGCTTTGGCTTGTCGTCAGCTAAACAGCATGATGGGTGTCTGAGAGGGAGGAATAATTGGCTTTGTTGTAGCTCACGTCTGGAGATGTCTGGTATTTTTGTATGCTTTCGGCAGGCTGCAGCACACGCTAATGAGGCCCTGAGGTTGATGGAGATGTACAGGCTGTACCAGCAGCAGGTGGGGGAGGAAGGGAAGACTTATTGACATCCTATCCAAATAAATATCAGTGGTTTTGCTAATTTGCTTAGATAATGTGGCATTAAGCATCAACTTCAAGTGTGAATCTGTTTTTTTTTTTTTTTTTTTTGTTTTTTTTTTTGCAGGGGCTTGCAAACCCCTTCCTTCCAAGTGCCGATGCCCCTGTAAGCTCACTCATATGAAAACGTTGCATAAACTAACAGATAATAAACTGATGATTAATAAACTTTTTAAAATTATTTTCTCATTCTTTGGAAAGGCTAATTCTGTTGTTGCACCTGCGGTGAGTATGATGACAGCATTACACCGTTTATATGCCAAGACTTTCCATTTGAAGAGAGAAAACAACATCTATTTCAGGTGGTTGCTTACCAAGCCCAGCTGGCTCCCGCCCCTGCGGAGGACGACTCAGACGAGGAAACCGAGGTGCGGTTCTAGACTAAGCTTTAAGCCAAATATTTTGTGTTTTTTAAGCGGGTTTCAACAGTCACCGTGTTCGACATTTTGCTGACTTTACTTTTGTGTGTTTGTCAGTTGACGGTTTGTGCTTTGAATGGAGACAAATCACAGGTGTAGCTTATACTGTGTTTTTCTCCAATTAGCCTCAAAGTGGGACAGTGAGTCGATATAAACATCCTAAAACTTAAATAGCTAAACAATTCAGTAATTTCATATCCAACCAAGTCTAAAAACTTCTAGGAGTAGATACATTTCCATGTGCACTTTACCTGACTTTCTGACTTAATGGGTGCCAACTTCATTTAGAATAATTTCAACATCTAATGCACATCCCAACATTTTTTAACATTCCCTCTTGCATTAATTTTCCTTTGCTCATTAAGTATTCCCCATATTTACTAAATATGGTGTGGCCTTCACACTGTTGTTTATTGTTTTTTTTTTGTTTGTTTTTTTTACTTTTTCTGTTAGGATGGGAACCCCGCTCCTAGAGTTGCAGTCGCCGGTGCTCCTGCTGCTCCTCTGAACTCTGACGAAGAGGAGGAAGCTGAGGAGACGGAGGTAGCTGAGGTTGAGCCGACTGTGGTGGACACGGCACCTGCGGACCCCACAGCAGCTGCTGAGCCTGAAATGGTTGACATCCCTCCAGATGCTGCTCCAGTTGATGGTGTTGTTGTTGTTGCCGTGCCCCCTGTTGACATTGTTCCTGTGGACACAGCTGCCGAGCTGCCTGTCGATGTGGCCGGCCCCGTCGCTACTGATGTTCCCGTTGCTGATGTTGCTGCAGCCACAGCGGCTGCTGAGGTTCTTGCAACACTGTAATTATCCACCTCTCCCTTGCCACTGAAGGTGTATTGTGTGTTTACAGAAAATTGGAGGTTAAAACACCCTTAGCTTACTTTAGTTGTAGGCTTCTTGAATGAACATTGGAAGAAGCCATGATAAAAGATTAAGTATCTTGTCCACATCTAAGCCAAAATCTTGATGTGGATTTTTGTTTTTTTTATCCCGTTTTTACTTTTCTTTCCTCAACGAATTTTTTAATTGGTTTGAAATTTTTCAGCTGTGTTCCATTGAGTGAGTGACAAAAGGTCAGACAATGTTTTGTTTTTCGTTTCTGTTATCCACATTTTTTTGTTACAAATTAAAACATATGTTGCTATGTCAGTTTTTTATTTGAGACATAATGTTATCTTTTCAGACTGAGTACAATTGTAACTGGCAATTTTGATTTGGAATAAAAAAAATCCAATGTGGAGTTCCTCAAGGTTTAATTCTGGGTGATTTTTATTCATATGAGAGAGAATCTGTACACTCCTCCATCTCCTACAAGACAAATCCTAAAAAAATCAATATTTCTGTGTCACAACATGACCATGGTTAATATTTTTGTTTTTTTTTTTTTTTTGTTATTTTGATGGTAAGGGCAATAAAAAGGATTTTAAATACAGACATTTTAGCCTAAACAATGATGGTAGCGACTGCTAACTACTAACTCGACAACTGCAGAACTGATATTGACGCCACTCATGTAGAAATAGATCATTGCTAAAGCTGCCGAGTCATGAGGAGCCTTCATAAGGCAAATTATTGTAAGCTCCATGAGGAGAAAAAGTGTGGTATAAAAAGTTACGCAAGCAGCACACATGACCACCGTCTGGAGAGGATTGTGAGGCATAAGACTGTGAAATTTGCAAGGCATGAAGAGCAGTTAGACTCTGTGCTTCGATGCACTTCAGTGACTTGAAATGCCGAACCTCGGCTGATACAATACAAAACCCTTCATTACACGCTCTACACGGGATAAAGGATGTTCCAGATGAGATTCCCACTTACCAACACATTTACAAACTTCATGGGAGATGCAGTTTGGAGAGACAGGCTCTTCCATTTATGGCTTTTGATCAACAGAATGTAAAGACTTGTCAACATGTCTAAAGTACACTGTCCAGGCTGCTCCTTACTTTTCCTTCTTGTGGACATCACAAAAGTAGATTTGGAAATAAATAGATGTCACACAGGTCTTGCATTGCATAAAAAATGCTGAGAACTGGAAAAAAAAAAAAAAAAATATCATTTTTTTTAAAAACCTTTTGTCACGTGTTGTTGCTATGGAGAGAATGTCTGATTTTAGGAAAAACTAGCAGAAGAAATTTAAATTGGTTTGGTCTCCAATTACACAGAAGCCATGACAAGCTCAAGTCCTGGCCTGTCAGCCTTTGTCACATGTTTTTCTTTCTCTCAAAACCCATTTTCCTTTCTTACCACTGTCAAAGAAAAGGCCATGAAAGCCACAAAATGTTTCTAAAAACCTGAACAAAACAAACAAAAATTAAGCATTTGAAATTTCTCTGTGTGAAAGTACTACGGAAATAAATTTGACCTCATTCGTCTATGATAATTTGCAAGCCTAAAATCTCTTACTGTGTTAAACTGTAAGAGAAATAAAGTTCAAATGACCTCCTCAGTTTTCTGATTTAAATACAATATTTACTGAGAATAAGCCGCAAGAATCAGACCTGCCAGCAGGGTGAGACACTCTACCACAGGAAGGCCACCAGCTTTCTGCGCTGCCAGAGGTCAGCTTCAACTTTACTCCACCATTCTTATGCATTTAAAGGGGGCAGATCTATCTGATCTGAAATCTGTTCTGCTGGTGCCGGTCTAATAGGATCAGGGCAGGATATGTCTGAGAATGCTGACCAAGCAGCAGGGGTGTGTGTGTGTGTGTGTGTGAGCTCACTGCAAGACTAAATCCTATGCTATTTCACAAATGGCAGGAACATTACAGATATTTGCAAATTATAAAAATGAGAACTTGACTGACACAGAAATGGCTTAGTTATCATCCAGTCATCTAAATTTATTTCCTCAAAGCTTGATTGTCAAGTGAACAAACTAAGATGGCGTCTTTCCTTTTCTCAGCTAACTCTAATCCCCAAATCCTTGTGAGGGTCACTCAGACTCAGTGACAGTCGTTCAGACTCAAACTCAGAGGTATTAGTTTTTAGCTATGTCTTGACACTAATAATAGTATCATTACATGACTTATCATTATTATTTTAGCGTTAAAAGGAAGTTACAAAAGGATTAAGAGAAATGGACTTGATAAATTAAGGACTGGAAAAGGTAAGACCAGCTATATTTGACTACATGCTAAATTATTATGGACGACATTAAATGAAACATTTTAGTACTATGAATCTAGACTGCTCTGGCACAGTATTAATGATTTGTATTTTCTGTTTTGTTTAACTTTATTTTTTTGTGGCCAAACACAAAATTGAGTCAGATGAGGTTTTACTGAAATATTGAAGATAGTCATGCACTGTCAGATTCACGACCAATTTATCATCACAAACACTGGAAAAGAGTAAAATGATGCAGACAAAACAATGAGCATGCAAATTCTCTGTTTTGTGTTGGGTATTATTTATGAGTATAGATGCAATCTTGTAATTTGAAGTTCTCTGCTGCATGAGTTTGTGGAGGAAACCCATTCTGCTGCTTTTTGCTGCTTAATAAATGTGTTATTAAAAATCCAACAGCAAAACAAGATACAGAGAAGAGTTTGACTGATAAGTGTCTGTGGTTTAAATTACTTTTAGAGAAATCTGAAAACCTGTCAGTCGATGCTTCCAAGATAGAAGAATGCTTTATTTTGGTAACCTGATTTCCAAACACATGAATTCATAATTACAGGGTTATGTAAAAAAAATAAAACAAAATATCAGTGTGGTGCAATCGTGTTATTTTTCCTTTTCTCTTCAAACACCAGCTTGGTGTTTCCATTGTTTGATTGTATTTCACATACTGCTCCTTTGAAGTGCACTGCTTTAAAAGGGAATTAAATTAAAGCCTCTTGAGGATTTTCACATTTTGTTATGTTACAACCGCAAATCTTAATGTACATCAGGTTTCTAAAAAGCATATTTCCTTCTATGCACGCAAAACTAGGTTGAGACTCCTTTTATGAATTACCGCATGAAGGCAGAGTGGCGTGGAGGTGAGCCGACTGTGGTTCTGCTGAGACGTAATGGAGGTCCAGGTTGCTTTGATAGTTGTCTTCAGGTCATCTGCGTTGTTTGGTCAGGTGTTGTCTCTCATCTTCCTCTTGGAAAAGCTCCAGATCTGGCCCATCTGCTCGTCATTCAAGCACAGAAACACAGTTATCACTGAACTAGTTTTTGATATGTCTGGCACTATAGGCAAGTCCTTCTGGAAAATGAAATCAGAATCTCAGTAAAGCTCGACACCAGAAGAGGCATAGCGTACTCTAACATTTCCTGCTACGAGGCTGCACTGGTTGTGTGGGGACCACTGTGGACCCCACACAAATCATGAGTGGCTGTGGAAACTTCCCACCGGACTTCAAGCAACATGGATTCTGTGTCTCTCCTCTTCCTACAGACTCTGGGATCGAGATTTCCAGATGAAATGCTCATTTTCACGAAAAAAATAAAATAAAATAGACACATAAAAGACAGATCTCCCACTTAAGTTGTTGATTTTTACAACTCCTCCTCAACCCTGTGTTGCTCCTTCTGTTAAATGTTGTATAAACACTTTAACGTTTAAGGTTAAAATTTAAAAAAAAAAAAAAAAAAAAAAAAAAAACTTCGCTGGGTCAAAGTCACTGTGATGTTAAGACAAAGCTTTGAGAGAAGCTTTAAGCAAACATTAAGATTAACGTAGTATCTATTAAAAGTAGATGGAAGTATTATTTATCAGTCTACAGAGGCTGACTTTTATTCTCCCCTATAGTTTTCCTTTAAGAACTTGCAGCTGTTAAATTTAATTTGTTCTTTCCTCTGCCACTGGCGCAAATGTAAGACATGCCATTTTGGATCCCTTCATCCTGAGTACGTAATCTCAAATCCAACACTTTCTGGGTAGTGTTACATTTTCACCCTGCTTCAGTTTCAAGCCATGTAGAACAACTTGTGAGGCTTTTTCTACTCTTAACACTGAAAAGTCCATTAGCCAGTAATAACATGATAAGTTTGAATTAAGTCATCATTAATCTATGTCTGTCTTTTGTTTGAGCTTTGCAGGACAGATCAAACATTTGCTACAACAACCATGTCCACCAATGCAATGTCAGGTCACACAGCTTGCAAACTTACCACAGACAGTGAAGAGCAAAGTGAGGATGACCTGTAAGTCGTACTTCAAGTACTTTACCACTCAAAGGCAGACCTGTGTTGAGTCAAATGCACAGTTCATAAGAATGAAACAAGACAAGAGATTTGCCCAATGTGTAACATGCTGTGTTTCTTTCAGAAGTGCGCCTCAATCAAATCGTCTGGCCAACATGAATAACAGCAACAATAATGAAGAGTAGGTACAATTTGAAGTTCTGAAAATATATGGGAGCCTTTTCTTTGATTAGCCATGTGGGCTCAGTTAGCCTGTTAAATGTCTCATTTTTTTCACCAGGGAAAAAAAGAAAAAGGAGAAGAAAGACAAGAAGGAGAAGAAAGACAAGAAAGACAAGAAGGAGAAGAAAGAGTAATTATTTTACATTAGAAAATCTTGACAAATGTTACAAACCTCTGAAGAAAACTTCATGGTCTTTGTCCATTGCACTGAATCTTACAGGAAAAAGAAAAAGGAGAAGGAAGAAAAAGATGCAAAAGAAAAGGAACAAGAAAGAGAAAAGGAGAAAGAAAAGGAAAAAGAAAAGGAGAAGGAGAAAGAGAAAGAAAAGGAGAAAGAAAAGGAAAAAGCAAAGGAAAAGGACAAAGACAAGTAGGTTCATAATTTAGAAGATTATCTGGAAATAATTGCCATGTTCGTTCAGGAGGATGATTTCTTCTTTCTTTCTGCTCGTTCACAGGCCCAAGGAAATATTCGTCATTAATCCTGCAGGGAATTTGTATTACAACTGGCTTTTCATCATTGCAATGCCAGTCATGTATAATTGGACGATGATTATAGCCAGGTAAATTAGCTAACTAGCTAATCCACTGCTACATTGTCCTTTCTTGCCAGGTGTTTATTCAATGGCACTTTCTAACTTTTGCATAAAATGAGGCCAAGTCATTTCAAGGTCGTTTCTCAAATTCTAGATTTAGTTAGGATTTAGAGCAGTCAAGAAAGTCACAATCTCTGTTCTGTTAGATGATAAGGGGATGAACAATTATTTATTACTATTTTCCAACAGGGCATGCTTTGAGGAGCTGCAACAGGACTACATTCTCTACTGGATTTTGTTGGACTACAGCTGTGATCTAATTTACCTGGCGGATATGTTCGTCAGAACCAGAACAGGTGAAAACAAACTTGGGTTTTCTCATCTATCAAAAAAAAAAACTAAATAAAAATCACCAAATTAGAAAAAAAAAGTTTGCCAAAAAGATTTTAAAATGTCACATTTAAAATAATGAAGATAATGTGTTCTATGCTTCCCCTCTTCACACTGAGTATAAAGGCATCCTCTTCCTTCATTGTTCATCCATCCGCTGCTTTGTTTACTGTGGTGGCTGGGGGGCTAGTGCCTATTTCCAGCAGTCAATGGATGGGAGTTTGGCACATTGCTTGGTGGCTGCAGGTTCACTTCAACTCCTTGTTGCCTTGTTCCATTTAGAAAACACAAAAAGTCCCGATTCGGAGTCTTCTATGAAATAAGCTCCTGTCTTGGTATTGTCTTGACTTGTCAAGCTGTCCACAGTTTATCCCGAGTCCCACCCATTGACTACTAGAATAGGCTTATGCCCCTGATGAAGATGAACACAATTAATCTGGTTCAGACAGCAGATGGATAAAGAAGGGAACACAGTAGTGTCTTTATGTGTCCTTGACACAAACTGTTTAAACCTGAGGTTGGCAGTGAACAGTGCCAGATGCAAACTCGACTTCTGTGCTGTAAAACAAGTAACCAAAATATAAATTTGGTGTACATAAACTTTACAATTAAAACTGACGCTGCTTCTGTATTGCATCTCCTCCTTTGCAGGGTATCTTGAGCAAGGCCTGATGGTGAAAGATATGAAGTTGCTTCGAGATAACTACGTCAAGAGCTTCCAGTTTCGTCTCGATGTTCTCTCCATGCTGCCGACAGACGTACTTTATTTCGTCTTTGGCCTTCACTACCCCGAGATCCGCATCAACAAGCTGCTGAGAATCGGCCGAATGATGGAGTTCTTCACGAGGACGGAGACTAAAACCAATTATCCAAACATCTTCCGCATTGGGAACCTAATCATGTACATTCTCATTATCATCCACTGGAATGCATGCTTCTACTTTTCATTCTCCAAGTCGATTGGCTTTGGCGCTGATGACTGGGTCTACCCAGCCCTCGACGATCCAGAGGAGCCTGAGTTTGGGCAGCCTATGAGAAAATATGCATTCAGCCTTTACTGGTCCACGCTGACTCTGACCACCATTGGCGAAACTCCACCACCTGCTCTTGACTCAGAGTTTATCTTTCATGTGGTCGACTTCTTAGTTGGAGTCTTGATCTTTGCTACCATTGTGGGAAACATTGCCACCATGATTTCCAATATGAATGCTGCACAGGCCCAGTTTCAGTCCCGCATCGACAACATCAAACAATACATGCAGGTGAACATCGTACTGAAGTCTGAATGAGAAGCTTCAATTATTGAATTATCTGAAGGGATGTTAATGATATACTCCTTTGTATCTCACTCATAGGTTCGAAAAGTCAGCAAAGAACTTGAGCTACGAGTTATAAAGTGGTTTGACTACCTGTGGAATAACGGCAAGGCACAAGATGAGAGGGAGGTGCTGAGATATCTTCCTGACAAGCTACGAGCGGAAATAGCCATCCAAGTTCACATGGACACCTTGAAGAAAGTTCGGATTTTTGCGGACTGTGAGGCAGGCCTCCTGATCCAACTCGTGCTCAAACTCCGTCCGCAGGTCTTTAGTCCAGGAGACTACATTTGCAAAAAGGGCGACATTGGTCGTGAGATGTACATCATAAAAGATGGAAAACTAGCAGTTGTTGCCGACGATGGAGTCACACAGTTTGTAGTGCTGGGAAGTGGTAGCTATTTTGGTGAAATTAGTATCCTTAATATTAAAGGCAGTAAAGCAGGCAACAGGCGAACTGCTAACATTAGAAGCATTGGCTACTCTGACCTCTTTTGTCTTTCCAAAGACGACCTGATGGAGTCACTGATCGAATATCCAGATGCCAAAGCCATGTTAGAGGAGAAAGGCCGGCAGATCCTGATGAAAGATGGTCTCATAGACTTGGACCCCGCCAACATTAAGCCTGAAGTTAAGGAGCTGGAGGAGAAAGTCACCAAACTGTACAGCACCATGGAACTGATGCAGGTGAAGCTTAAGAAGATTTTGGGAAATTACAAACATACTGGCAAAGCCCTGAGACAGCGGATTACAGATCTGGAGCGCCTGAGTGGAGAGGAGGTGGAAGAAGAAGAGGAGGAGGAAGATGGAGGGAAAATAGAGGCTAAAGAGAAGGAAGAAGAAAAAGAAACTGATGAAAAGGTTGTGGAGGAAAAAGAAGAAAAACCAGAAGAGGAGAAAGGAGTTGATGAAAAAGATGAGGAAGAAGGAGAAGAAAAAACAGAAGACAAAAGTGAGGTAACAAAAACAGATTAGGATAAAGGTGAAGGAGGAAAAGCTGATGAAGTAAACAATGGAGTAGCAAAAGAGGACAAGACAGAAGAGTAAAAGATAAAAATAAAAAAAACATTTGGTGTCTGAAAAACTATTTTTGAAATGATCGCTGTCACTCATCCTGTCAGACTTTCTGGCAAACTCAGAAGGGATGATCAGGAAGGAAGATCGTTAAAACATCAACTCAGATATGTCCATAAAACTAGTTATTGTACAAAATTATATTTTGTCCAACTGTTCAGTTTGTTGTCATTTGTTTTTCAATTTCCAAAGACTTCATGTACACCGAGTCTGGAAAGACCTTCTGCTATTTGCAGCACAGCAGCATTAGCTGCCGTCCTTATAAGTGCTGTGAGCGTAAATGTTGTTGGACCAGAAGAATATGAATCATGGATCAAATGTTGCAGGTAAGAAACACCCACCTGTACTTGATGGGAGTGAAACTGTATTTTAATGAGCCAAAAGGGCTAAATTTACATTAAATTATTTGACAGATCATTTTATCAAAAGCACTTTACTGCTTAGGAAAAACCATGCAGGCTCAGAGCCGACATTTCTATATCACAAAAACGTGTTGAAAGACAAAGGTCAAAGTCAGTACCAGCACAGAAATCCGAGTGAACTGAAGTTTAGGTATCTTTAAATGTTCCTTCAACATATTTCTCTGTGCTGAAGGTGTTGGGTGGGGACATACAGCATGCCAGTAGCAGTTGACAGTGTTAAGAGAAACACAACATGAGACTGCTTTATGGTAGCTGTAGGAAATGACGGCAGCTTCAGTGGACACAAACGTCCATGACTACTTCCAGTCTGAAACCACTGGTTTCCAGTTGACGGCTACAAATGACTCTTTTTATATGACTAAATGAAAACCACATCTGCTGGTTTAATTCTGCACCACCTCTAGCATCTTCCAGGAGTGAAGACTTTTAATTTCTCCACCTTAAATTAGTCTTTTTGTTTCTAATAAGAGGCATTTATCGTTCGAAGTACATTTCAAACAACAACTGCACGTAGATGCATATTTGTCAGCTGAGACTCCGCTCATGTATGTGACACACGGGTACACACAGAGCACCTTGAGAAAGCCAGAAGCAACTGTGACCAGCTGGGAAAAAAAGAAGTTTAAGAAATGAACACAGAATAATTCAAGGAAATTATATAATTTAGCGGATGCCTTAAGTTTAAGTAAACTGTAGCCCAAAATGTCATACTCATGATTTTTAAGGGGCCCAAATTCAAAGGCTTACCGGAGACAAGCAGTCTTATTAATCAAGTAGCAACGATGTAGTGGTGTAAGAGTTAGGTGAGCTTAGATGAGAGGGAATGTGGAACAGCTGTGGAGAAAGGGAAAACAGGAAGTATGACAGAAGGTGAAAAATAATCACAGATACTCGTATCTGCTAGAGTAGAATGGACCACAATGCACAAAGGACAGACTGCAAGAAATAACTTAAATGGTTTCACAGAGGACTTAACTAATATGGACAGATTGTAATGAATAACAGGGAATTAACTGAATATGGCAAGAGCATGAATACATAATTAGAACCAAATCCAAGAATGATTAATGATTCATTTCCCTAACAAATTAACATTGATACAAAAAATATCATCACTCATCCATTAGCAGGAAATGAGACAAACCCTAAATATCTATGGTAAGTAGCAGGTTTCTTCCAAATGATTAAAATGTGGTGTTTTTTTTTCTTCTTTTTTTCTAACAATTTAATAATGGGTATATTATATATATATTCCAGAATATACAGATATGAACATTGCTATATTTACATTTTCTCAAACATTTTTGTCAGTTCATAAATGCACCACATGAATGTACATCAACACATCTCCTATGAAATCACTTATTCATAAGCTGTCCAGAAAACCTGCGGGAGCGCGTCTCATGCATTGAAAGTCCGCTGCTCTCTGATGCATGTGTAAATAGGAATCTGTTGACAACATCTGCATCTAATTATGTGATTATTCTCTGACGCTCGTGTGAGAACTGTTGTAAACATGGCTTGTACTGACCAGGGAGTCAGTAATGCACCACAACACCAAAGATAAAAAAAAAAAAAAAAAGAATAAAGATTTTATTTGAAACATTCAGCATCAGTCATACAGTTCATTATTTTTTTCCAAGTTAAAAATGCTGATGTTTTGGAGTGAAAAGAGAAATAATTGTGTCACATTTACCCTTTTGTGGTTATCATAGCAGGACTTTATCTTTTCCCAATGTAGTAATATTGAATGTGAACATTTTCTGTATCATGTAGGTGGGTTCTTTCTACAGTAAAATATATTTTTTTTACAAAACTGCTTAAAACCTTTAGCTAATATGGCGGGCAAGGAGATGAAAACCGAGCAGCACTTTATTTTCTGAAGACGCTTCAACTGAACTTAAGCTGAACGTCACAATGGGGAATAATGGGATTCAGGTGAGTTTAAATGGAGCATGGTTGTTGGTGATTGAAGGTCTGGTCAAATTCACTGATTTACAATGATTTTTTTTTCTTTTTTTAACAATCCCTTGCACTTAGAAAGAAGGATCTGAGAAGAGGTCCAACCCCATCTTAGCAAAATATACCTACCAATGTGACTGATGAATGTAATATTTTATAAATTCAACTTTTCTTTTTCATTTTAATTTACACCAAATTACTCTAGTTCATTGTGTGAGCTGCTTGATGCATGCATGTATGTTTATGCATGTTAATGTCCAACTTCTTTAAATCTTCTCATCTAAGGTTTCATAAATAGCTACAAAATCAAAACGTATAAATCCTCTACACTCCGATATTTTCTACACCTCGTTCAACATTACAGCTTTAGTCTCATATTTTTTAAAAATGATAATGGCACACACTTATTTACACCTTTCAACATCCATGTGACGCATAAGAAGGAGATCATCAATTGTTCTTTGTGTCTCTCATCAATAAAGGCTCCATCACACACACAGAGAGAGAGAGAGAGAGACACTATATAGCTTTGACAACATTAAAGCAACCATTTGGTTTAGTCCAGAATAAAACACTCATTAAGGCAGAGTTGTTATCAGTGTGTACACAATCTTTGAAGTGAATCATACAAGCACTGTTGTAATTACAGAGGAGGCACTCAGAAGGATTACTGTTATATTCCTCAGCTGGCACAATTGCAGCAGTTCGTGTGCAGCATATCGGGAAAATCTCCTTCAATTTGCAAGAGTCTAAACATTTTGAAGATGTCTTCAAAATAATCACATTTCATTTGTTTACTCAACTCACATCATGGTGGAAAATCAGCTTATTGTGTTTCAGCACTGAGACTTTAACGTCCTTGAGTCTACGAGGTTGGTTTTACAATAAGCCCCAAAAGCACAGAGATGCTGCAAATACAAAGCAGTGTGACAGAAAAGTTGTGAAAATTTATAGGAAATGAAAAAAACCAGCAAAGAAAGGAGAGAAACAATAACTCTGACTTCTAAATTGTAACTCGTTTTGGTTAACTAATAAAACCGTACGCTGTGTCGTATCCCACTTTCACTGATACTGAAGCAAATGTTTTAGAAAATAAAATCCCCACTAAGTGTTGATCTAAAAACACTTCCGGTCTATCTGCTTGTTTAAATCACTGTGGGTTTACAAACAGCACATCAAGCTGTTCAAGCTTTCCTGCTCCTATTACAATTGATCTTTTTGTTTTCTGTTCTCTAGCACCATTTCTATTGAAGGCACCAAATTAAAAAACTATTAATTAAGGTCTGAATAATAAGACAAACATAAAAGCTCGTTAAATAAGAAAGGAAAACCCGAAACAAGTTGTGTTCATCATCGTTAAAGCTGTTTCTTTTTCATGGACAGCAGTTTCCTTAGGCTGCAAATCAGGCTGAACCTTGTTAGAAATGTGAAATTCAGCTGAACTTGTACATCATGAAAAAAAGACTCTGTTCAACCTTTTCATGTTTTTTTTTTTGTTTGTTTTGTTTTTTTTTTGTCTCCTGAGGTAAGACTCTAACAGCAGCAGGGTACATCTTGTCTTTGGTTTCTGAATGACATGTAAGTGATCAGAGAGCCACCTCTCACTTTCATCTATTAACCCGGCTCTTTTATCAGGCTGTCAGACATTCTGTCTGCTGGCCTTAGCTCTAACTCTTGCACACAACACACATTTCTTTTCTTACTGTGTGATTTTGCTGATCGAATTTATCATCATGTTCCATCAGTTTGACGTTCACCTCATGAACCTGGAAAGCAGTTCTCCTGTTCTCCTTCTGACACAGTCACTAAGTTTCTCCATTTGTCCTTTTTATATCCACACCAGCGTCTTTTAACCCAGCATGTTTATCCCCAGGTACAACTTTTATTCTCATTTCTCTTTTTTTAACCATCACACTTTGCAGCCAACTGTGTCCTCCTGCACAATGACTACAATTGCTATTAAGCCGAAGGACTTAATAGCAATTGAGGGAAACTTCAAAAACTTTTTTTTTTAAAAGCTGCGTTTTGCTTGAGTAAAAACTGGAGGGATTTTTTAGTAAAGCATATTTCACATTTATATTGGAAGCAGAAAATGAAGGCAAGGTTGTTTTGAAATGCAATTCGTAGAAGCACCCAGATTGTCGATTGAGACATCCTTAATTTTTCAAAGGACTTTTTTCAGGTACTGAGTCAAAGAAGCTTTTTCAGGCTTGCTTGAAAACTAGTACAGTCTCCAAAAAGTTCTCATCCCTTGTGTTGGGTTGTTTGTCCATTCTTCATGGGGATCGACTGTGAACAATCCTTTTCAAATTTTCCATCCATCCATTATCTTTACACACTTATCCCTAGGGAGATTGCGAGGTATGCTTGTATCCGGCGGTCAATGGGCGAGAGGTGGTGTACACCCTGGATAGGTCGCCAGTCCATCGTCGTATTTTCCCGGAACACAATAAAACTATTTAGATTTTGTAATTTCACACCTTGAAATTTGTTTCTGTCTTTTTAAGACTCCTTCCCTCAAATCCCCTTCAACATGGCAACAGTGCACCTCCACTATGCTGTTTACAACTGTTCTTTACGTACACCAAATGGCTGATACGGGGACACTAAATGGCACAAAAAGAATCAAAACAACACTCCAGGCATGTTTTAGACGAGGAAATAACATTAAATTGTGATGTGAAGCTCAAAAACGTTATCACATAATATTGCCCCTTTAATTGAAGTCCAGAGGATGTTCAGTGCGTAGGAGATTTTTTGTATCCATACAAATTATGTAGATCGTGACTGATTTGTGATTTGAACAGTTGAAAGAGTAAAACTTTCAAAGAGGGCAAATGCTTTTCATAGGCAGTGTATATTCAGTTTTCGTTAAAAGTTGTGGTGGTTTAAAGAAGATAGTTAAACTTTTAAACTGTCAAGGGTGTGGTTGGTGGTGGTGAGGAGAGACGCTGAGACCCAGGTTATGATGAAAATGGTGATATTTAATGACGGAAGCTCAACAGTCCAATACAGGTAGAGAGTAAGCATGCAGCTAATTACTGGTAGCTCCTGATACACTGATGACTGAAAACTAGAGCTGACGCCGACACAGGACTTAACCAGTTCAACTGTGACGACTAACAGACTGACACTGACAAAGACGTATGTAAGACAAGGACCCGTCAAGAGACAAAGACAACAGGTGGGTTTAAATACACAGGGAGGATAATCAAGAGAACGAGACACACCTGGGAACAATCAATGGGGAAGACGCAGAGACAGAGACTCACAGCGAACAGGATAACAATAAACACAGAAACAACAAAAACTACGGATCATGATATAAACGAGATTAAATGCTACGTGAGTTTTATTGAACAAAATGTGTCACCTGAAATCCACTTCACATGACCCCTTAAAAATCAATAGTGCTTAAGCCAGCTGTGTTACTGCAATGCTTCTAGTAAATATGCTTTAAAGAAAATAAGTTTTATGGCCTAAAGCAAATGCTCTTAAGTGCATTTATTTCACGGTTTGCAGGAAGCCAGTTGTGTGCTCAGTTCTTTTCTGTGCAATTTCCTTAGAGTTTGTGTTTAAATTATTGTTCTGTGCGACTATTTCCTCTGCCATCATCCCATTGATTTTTGTCTGCCAGTCTGCTTTTGATCAATAGTTGCTATAACCTATACAAATTTCCACTTAAACAACTGCAAAATGAAGCTCGCACCTGATATTCTTGAGGAAAAGCATAATTCTCTTATAGCAGTTAACGAATAATTAGGAAATAATTGAGGTCCATTATTCTTCCTTTGGCAAATAAACTGCCATTCCTGGTTGAATTTTTCGTTAATCAAAGCAAATAGCCTCGAGCGCTGACCCGAGTTGTGGCAGAGCACTAAAGCAGAACCGACGAAAGCTGACAACAGGGATGTGACTGAAGTGTCAAATCTACTGCTCTGATAGTCTCGAAAGAAATGTGCTCAGAGAGAAACACCAAAGGCACATTCTGAACTGGGTGCTTGGGAGCTAATTATTTAATTAGAATGAGCTTGTGGGAATCATATCTTTTCCAAGCACTGCACATTAGCAAAGCAATGGCCAGACAAGGAGTGTTTTTGGCAAAAAGCCTCAAACAAATATTTAACTTTGTTGTTTCTGTAAAAAACAAAGGATATGTTTTCTTTTAAAATGATGTTGTTGTTGTTGTTGTTGTTGTTTTGCAACTCTTATGATTGGTTTTATACTATTTGTTCTTCTTTTACAATATATTTATCAATCAATCAATCAAATTTTATTTGTATAACATTTCAGCAGCAAGGCATTTCAAGTTGCTTTACATAATTAACAAACAAAATAAAAACAGCATGTGACATTGAATAAACAGTAAGAAAGAGAAAGAGATTATGGAAAAAGAAAAAAAAAGAAAAGAAAAAGATAAAAAACATACTTTTGTTACGGAATTTAAGCGCCTGTCGTCTCCGGACTCCGCCGTCCGTTTATCACGGGTGTCTTGCCCATGGACACAATGATAGAGGCGGACAGACTGGGAATCAACCCAGTGACCCAAGGTGAACTCCTACTGCCAAATAATGTATCGGAAACAATAAAAACTGTCCCTAATGGCTGGGAGAGAGAGACCAGTAATACACTATTTGCGTCTTAAGCCGTGTTATGCTGATTAACATATTCTGTCTTTGCAGGGGACTGGAAACAGCATGACACATTCTCAGCTTATCAGAGTTACAGCAACATGAACAGACAATGATGGGCTGTCTATGATTGTGCTGTGGCTAACTGTATGATTAGGAAGGTTGCCAAACTTAATAAGTAAGCAAAAGGCAATTCATAGGAGCTCCTGCATTGACAATGCTGAGAAGCGTCCTTTAAATAGCACAGTGTAGAGTTTGTTAAGTGGCCTGCTGCTAAAGTGGCAGCCAAAAATTAAATTAGCTCTTGACAAAATGAAGTTACTGATTAATGCTCACAATCTCCAGTCAGTTTGTATGGACAGTCATGGCTTGGTAGGTTTAGAGTTGTCCCATATTCCTTCCACTTTTTGAGAATGAAAGGCTCAGTTTGGGATATTGTTTTGTAACCTAAATCTGCTTTAAACTTCTTCACACCTTGTGTATTCCTTGGTCTCCATAATGCTGTTTGCTCACTAATGTTCTCTAGCAAACCTTTGAGGACAGAAGCAGAAGAGACGTGTTTCTACTGAGGTTAAATTACACACAGGTGAGCTGTGCTTTATTTAGGGTTTCAAAGTAAGAGGGGTCAACCACAAATGAACAAGATTTTCTATCTAAAGAAAAATTCCTGAAATTACATTGAAGTTTGTGAAAAGTATGAGAAAGCCCAAGGGGTGTTTTAATAACAACATAATAATGTCATTAAATTTTTTTGTGAAAGACCACAGGAAAATATTTCTACAAGTGTTAGTAAGTTAAACTGTTGACCGACTGTGTGATTCAGAGTAACTGAGTCTGCAGCGTGAAAATATAGACTCAGTATTTCTATTAGAGACTTTTTCATTATATAGCCATATTTCACACTTCAGTGAAATAATAGACTTGTCACAAACAGTCCACAAGCACATGTCCCAGACTTCATACAAATAGCAGGGATTCATTTCATCTAAACATATGACTATTTGTTTATTTGTGATATTTATTCTCTGGACTGGTTTATAATTAGCAGTGATTTTCATTAACAAATTCCAGGAATTAAACCCCAAAGTTACAAGTTTCTGTTATGAAATTCAGCTGGAACCTACATCACCTAATACTATTTCTTTCAAGCAGGCCAGATCAGAACATCTGATTTTTTTAATACAGCATCTCTCATTCCGACGTCTGACATGATTCAGTGATTCTTTAAATTAGAGGTATTACAGATTTCGCTTCTGCAACAGAGCCTTCCCGCAGTTGCATTTTACTCCAGCATAATTAGTAATGCTCTGTAGGTGGAAAAAGGTGTGATTTAAACAGAGAAACTAAACCTGTAAAAAGGTGATGTAAGGTATAATTCTAATGGCCCGGATGATTTGTGTAGCTTTCTACTTAGGTAATTTCCACAAAAGCGGACTGTTCCTGCAGCACTGTGTTTTTCAGAAAAAAAATCTAATGTTCTGGCCGATGATAACCCCATGAAATACAAGTCTGTGTTAGATGCAGTCCATTTAAAGTTAAAGATTGTGAAGCAGAAATAAAACTGTTAGAATTTAATAATGCAAAACTGGCATAACAATCTGCAAACTTTTTGGCTGACTAGATTTTAATCAGTATTTCTGAGTGGAAATGATACAAGTTCAACAGCAAAAAGACAAATAAATATATCAGACACATTCAGATTTATATTTAAATCTAGTTTTGACCAAAAAGCCTGTTAAAAATAAGACTGGCACCTCTCAAATGATAAAGAAAAACATGTTTATATTCAATTAAAGAAAGGTATGTCGAAAATATGTACACCCTAATCAGTGGAAAATGTTTGCTGCAATAACAACAATCAAACCCTCCTTGTAATTGCAGTAATTGCAGATGCATATTTCATTTGGTATTCTGCTGATGAAATCCAAGTCTTTCAGGTTGGTCCTTTTAGCTTATATTAATAATATCAGCAAATTCTTTATCAGTGTCGAGTCAAAACAGCAAACGGTACACCTTTGAATGTATTTACCATCTCCACCCAACTGGCATGCACATCGCTAAAGAATCAAGCGCACCCATCCCTTTCACTTCTCAAGATCAGCAGCCAAATCCATAAGGTACACCTGTGGCACACCTGTGCTCACAATGATCTCTCTTCAGACAAAGAACCTCAACTGAAAGCTTCCTCAAAGACACCACTGGTAGGAATGGGCATTATTCACAGTTTATGTCATTCAAATTGCATTCAGAAGACCAAAATAAATTTGTTTGATGCAATGTTTGGAATAGTTTATTTATTCATTCATTGTTAACGTACAAGTAAATTATTAAATCATTACTTGACAAATGAGATAATTATTTAAAGTTCAAATGAACTAATTGTTGTAACTAATATTTCTTCTATTTTTAGGTTTTCAACCTACTCTTTGACTACTCTGTGACCTACTCATGTGAACCACTGCTCATGTGACCACATGTTTGTTCAAATGTTGTCGATGAGATTCATCTAAAGAAGAGATGAGTAAAATATAAATAAAAGACGTCACTGAGATGAGTTGTTCCTGCGTCTCTTTGGGGGAAGAAAGCCTTTTCAAGTTTGGGCATAAGGAAGCAAAAACCTTGACAATCAGATTCAAGTTGGAAATCTTGCTGGGCCCCTTCAAAACATAAATATCACAACCAGTCAAAAGAAAAATGTAATATTAAATTATTCTAAAACCTATGAAAGTAGTTGGGACTTTTCTCATAAACGAATGCATTGTAGAAAAAAACTGAAATACATGAATGGATGGATTTTTTTTTTTTTTTTTTACCAAAATAAGAGAGGCAATAATGTTTACACTTTTACCTACAATACTTTTGAAAATTTATGTTTGATTTGAGTAAAAATGTTCCTTCCAAAATTAGAATTAAATTATTTTCACTTTTTATTTAAATTTACTTTCATTAACATCCTCATTCACTGCGAGTCGCCTGCGAATGAAAGCACATTTCTTGATGTGGCGTATAAAGAGTGAAATCACTTGTGGGCTGCAGTCAAAAGCTTTACTTGACTGAATTTATTCTGCCTGCAAAGAAATGCTGGTATTCCACACCATTTATTCCAGTTGCCATGTAGGTAGACGAAGCGGCTTTATCTAATGTGACCAGTTTGGTGTCTGTAGGGGACGTCAGCCTGCTTGTTATGTGTGCTGCCCTGGCAGAAAAGGCTTCACTCCTGCTCCACCATCAGTTGTAGTCTTAAGACAGCTCCACTCTGAAATGGATACTGCAAGTTGCATACAAATACAAATCCTTGAAAAGTTTTCATACCCTTTGAACTATCATATTTTATCACTTTATGTCCTTATAAGTATTTTTGTGGAATTATGTGTGATACACCAAGCCAAGGCATTGCATAATTATGAAGTTGAAGGAAAATGACTTGCTTTTCAGGGTTTTCTACAAATGTGTCCCAAAAAGGCTGTCATACGTCTTAAGTCTTCATTTATCAGTACTTTATAGTATCACCCTTAAACCTGAAAGTATTTTTAATTATGTCTCTACCAGTTTTCTATATGTGGAGATTAAATTGTTTACCCATTTGTTTTTGAAAACTAGCTCAGACGGATCGGCTGCAGAGCATCTGTGAACTATAATTCAAAAGTCATAGAATCTCAATTCAATTCTGCTCTCTACTTTGACTGGACCATTTGAACATTTGAATGTACTTTGATCTAAATTCTACCCCAGTTTATCTGCTTCTATTGTTCGATTTTCTCACACTTAACAGTTTATCATCAAGATCATAATTTGCTCTCGTATCTCAATTTAATTTGATAATTTTAGTGTGGCCTGTGCTTCAATGTCTCTTCTTCAGCATTAAATCTTTGTGTTACACCTAACTTTATGAAAAGTGCTCTACAAATAAAGATTGATTATTTTTCTAAAGAGCATGATTCTGCCTTTGCATTTAACACGGTCTGTTCAGTATGACACAGTTTTCCTCCACTCGTGTTTTAGATGACTTTTGGTTTCATCTGATCGGAGAACCTTCTTCAACATGTTTGCTGTTTCACCTACATGACTTCTGGCCAGGGTTAGATTCTCCCACCTGTGTCATACTTTTTCCATTTCTGGACAACAGATTGAACCGTGTTCTGTGAAATTATAAACTCCATTTAGATGGACTCCAGTTGCTAATTAGATGACTTCTGAACATGACTGACTGGAATGTATTTTACTTATGACATAAAAGCACAGCTCAAAAGAATAGACTGTCAAGAAAAAAGTTCAGCAATTTTTCAGAAAGTAAAACTCAAATTCATGACACAAAGAGTGAAATATTTCAAACCCTTAATTTGGATGATTATGGTTTACGGATAATGAGAATCCATATTTCAGCGTCTCAGAAAATTAGAATATTACATAAGAATAAATCAAAAAGTATATTTCAAAGAGAAATGCCAGGATTCTGAGAAGTAAGTTAATTTCTCTGAACTCATTGTTTAGTTTGTGGCTGAAACTATGTGACAAGGTTCAAATCAATAAGGCTTTAACAAGGTGGAAATTTACTTTGTGACAATAAATTGGAGGATTTCTACCACAATTAACTCTTCAAAAGGTGAGTTAAAGAGAAGTCTCCCAGCCACATTTCATATCCTGTATCTGGAACGCTGCTGTCACAACATCATTTTGGAGATAAAGAAACCTCAGTGTGCCGTGACAGATTATACACTGCGGAGACAGACAGCTCATGTTGTTTGTTATTCATGAAGTTTGAAACGGCAGCCACACATCAATCAATCTGTTTCACTGTTCGGTGCACTTGTGCGTCACTTCGCGCGTTGCTGCGGACGGAGGAGGCTGTGCGTTCACACCCACATTCAACAGGCACCGGATCACAGCTGGTTTACGCACGGACTGGAGAGCAGTCCAGAGCGACTGCAGACCGACATCGAGGAAGATGAGGACTCTTTAATTTGCGCGCAATGGCGCCTATGCGCAAATCCTTTTCTGCCAATCCAGATTTGCGCTTCAATAAGTAGATTAAAGGACAAAATAATAATAAAAAACAACATATATTGATAGATTAGATCTTAACTAAGTTCGGATAAAAGCAGAGGAGGATGGGTACCCCACACAACGGATCCAATGTAACATCGAATTACACCAACCAGTTCGTGCAGCCGCCGTGGCGCATCGCTCTCTGGTCTGTCGCTTACAGCTCCGTGCTGGCGGTGGCCGTGTTTGGAAACCTCATCGTGATATGGATCATTCTCGCCCATAAGCGGATGCGGACGGTGACCAACTACTTTCTGCTTAACTTGGCCTTTTCGGACGCGTCGATGGCCGCTTTTAACGCTTTGATAAACTTTATCTACGCTGTCCATGGAGACTGGTACTTCGGGGAAGCCTACTGTAAATTCCAAAACTTCTTCCCAGTGACATCTGTGTTCGCAAGCATCTACTCCATGACTGCAATAGCTGTGGACAGGTGGGTCTATGGAAATTAACATTAATAATAGTTCAGATGTAATTCTCAGTCTATTGACCTCAGTTCTTCATCACAATGACGGAATTTTATTGAACTTATAGGGACATATATATATATATATATATATATATATATATATATATATATATATATATATATATATATATATATATATATATATATAGTATGATTCCATTAAATTTAATTATGCAGGGCTACACCAGCACTGGTAAACTGAATTGAATTAGACTTCATTAAAGCTTGCTTATTTCTCGTATTTAATTCTTGAAGATAAATTGCGGTTTATTCGGCTTTTATATCTTTTCCAAGACTTCAGTTTGATTCGAAATTGCCAATTGTCTTCTTGCCCTCTTCATTACCCCACCCTGATGTTAATTTTCCCCTAGAGGACATCCTCTCATGTTTGTTTGTTTTTGTTGTTGTTGTTTTTTTTCTCTCATATTGCTACCACAAACGTGGAGTGGTTTTATTGGCGTTTAGACAAACATAACATGTTGAGCAAATTGAAAGTCTAAGTAAATTATTACTTTTGTTTTACCTTTTTATATAACAACAAGAAAACCAAGAAATGCAAAACTCTTCAAACCTCTTTACTATGATACCCCTAAATAAAACCATGCACATCAAATAGCTTTCAGAATTCACAGAGTTAGAGTCCACCTGCGTATTATTCATGTTAACACAGCTGTTCCAAGAAGGCCTCAGAGGTTTGTTAAAGAGCATCACTACAGAAACAACATCACAAACACCAAGAACCACAGCAGACAGGTCAGGGACAAAGTTGTGGGGAAGTTTAGCTGTTAAATCAATATTGCAAGCATAGAATATCGGTCTGGTCAGTAATCTGAAAACTAAAAGTGAATAGTACAAATGTAAACCATCACAGCTGTGACCGGGCAGGTCATGGTTGTGCGTTCCTAGAAAGATTGGCCAATTAAGATTCACATCTTGGGATGATAATCCGTTCACAGCACAACAATTAGGCGTGCTCTCTACAAATATGGCCTTTATGGAGGAGTAACAGGAACAGAGCCATTGTGGAAACAAAGCCATTGAAATATGAGCTTTGATTGTGAGGTGTAAGAGACTGAACTTGTGAAAAAAGCTGCTTTCTTCAACTTGGGCTGGGAAACTGGCTGATTGGCAAGTAGATGAAACCAAATACATGAAAACTCTGAAGAGAACCTCCTGCAAGACATAAATAGAGGTTTATCTGCAAGCAGGAAAACCTCATTAAGAGCCAGAGTTACAGTGGAAAGGTTAATTCAAATCATATACATTCATTAAAATGGTCTAGTCAAAGCTCAGCTAGAATCCAACAGAGAAAATGTGTCAATTTTTGAAAATGGATGCTCGCTGATGCTCACCACATACTCTGACTGAACATGAGCTTTGTTTCAATGTCAAATGATTTTAAAAATCAGCAAAATTATATCAGAAGGCGGTCTTACAAATCTTAAGTCAGGTGGGCTGCATACATAGATAGGCACGTCACACTTTTTAGATTTTTATTAGAAAATAAAGTTGAGAATATATTCGTTTTTGTTACACCGCAATCAGGTTGAATCAGTAGCTTTGCGAATGGGAGTTTGTGCCAGCATGTTAGAAAAGATTCCCCCATTTTTAACGCTCTAAGCTTTTTGTTTTCCGTCACATGCAGTCATCCTTTCTTCTCTCACACATTCCTGCTCCTTTCTTGCCTCTTGGTCTGTTTCTTATTGCTCTGTGGTTTCCAGTTATTTGGAAATTCAACACTTTCAGCTGGGCTTCAATCACTGAACCATCATAATTTCCCCACTGGGGGACAATAAAGATCTGATCTATTCTATTCTATTCTATTCTATTCTATTCTATTCTATTCTATTCTATGAAAGCTTCATCTACTAGCCGAAGATGAAGAAAACAAAACAAAAAAAGATGAAAGGAAGGAACAGCAGTGTTGTTAAGTTTGCATGTTGAGCGTGCTGTGATGTTGTGTGAGGTGTCTCCTCAGCACAGTGCTTCCCCTTGACACAAAACAATGTATTTCCTCGGGCAGAGCTCGTTTTGGCTCCTCTACTGCAACTGCAATTGGTATTTTTGGCCTGCAATGCCCCTCGAATCTCACAAATTGTTTACTGAGAAAGAGAACATTGCCATGACCTAGCCTACATGATGCAGATGTAACCTCCGGTCATGCTTTCCTTAACCCTGGTATGGCGCTGTCTCCGCTCTGATGTCTTGAAATGGCAGAAGCCACAGTTCGTGATCGTTCGTGAATTTGTCCTTCCTGCAATCTCTCTGCAGGCTTTCATGTTTATGGGGGCTGCCGCAAAAGAAAGACAAGTTTTTTTGCGTAAAGAGTGAATTCACAGCAGGCATTCCAAACTTTTTATGCCGAGTTATTTAACTTATGTACACTGTCAGCTAGAGAACAGCACTTCCTCCGTTAAATTGGTAAAAAGAGATATAGTGATGCCTAAATTGTTCATAAATATAGGCTTAATTATGAGTGTTTGAAGTAGATGATAGTTATAGAGTTAAATAAAACTAATGCATATTGAAAACATTGCAACTTAAAGTTTCTAGTGAAACCTGATCAGTCATGCATATTCATATTCAGCTGTGCGGAACGGTTTCAACTCATATGCACCGTCCGCTTCAGTTCCCTCCACAATCTTTCCTCTGGATTTAGGTCAAGAATTTGACTTGGCCAATCCGAAACATTAACTTAATTCCTCTTTATCTATCCTCTTGTAGACCCACTTGTGTGTTAAGTCTCATGTTTCCTCTACACGATTCACATTCTGATGGGATTTGTTTCCCAAACAGATAACATTTCTGTTTCCATCTTTGAATTTATGCATTAGCTAATGTTCCCAAACTATTTTGGGGGGTAAAACTAAGTTTTATCCCAAACAATGACACTACTTCTGTAAATTTCACAAATTATACAAAGTTCTCCTCCAGTCCTCTATGGTAAACAAAACACTCAGAGGCAAAACGTTGTAATTTGGCCTGATCTGAATACCAAATCATTATTTTGAACATTCTTCCGATATGATAAGCAAGCACTTTCTTATTAGTAATAGCTTTTATTATTGTTATTATCTTGCTGCTTTGATGTTGTTGCTTTTTTCATAGTCATGCTCAGTTTGGTCCTGATGCTAAGTTCATGTATTACCATTAACATTACATTTTGTAAGAAAGCAAATTCATTCTCCTAAAGTAATCATTTGGAACGACCATAAGTTTTGATATAACAAACTTTGTCTTTGGGGAAGATATCTCTAGTTGTTGAGTGTCACTAATGTAAAGTTTTTATTTTATTTGTGCATAGTCAGCCAGAATGTTCATTAATGAGCTTCACACTCTTTGGAGGGACGCACCTACTCTTTACAAAAACGAGGTACATTACATATCTGGATGGACATTATGTAATGCTGAATAATTCAGCTAAAACAAAACCTATTGCATTTTCTTAGCAGCACTTACTTATTAAGTTCTCCGTCTCCTCTTAGAATTTGCAAGGAAAACAACGAAGTTAATCAAATCAAAACAGGAAATTATAGGATATCAGAATTACAAGCATCAAAACATCAAAATAAACCATGTTTCTGTTTTTAGCAGGAGCAGCTACACCAATAAAAATCTGCATCAACATTTCAAAGACGACTTGACCTTTCAACTAAAATATTTATTTAAAAAGAATTATTTTATTTTTCTTCAACAACAAAAATGTCAGCAAGCAAAACAATTTGAATAGAATTTGAGATATGAATATTATTTAAGTAAAGGAGCCCATCTCATCAAACTTGCCACGGATTCTAAGTAGACACATTTTTTTAGAACTGAGACAAAACGTGACTAAAAGCCACTAATTTTGCAGCTGTTTTCAGTCCATCTGCTAAACACAGATATGTGTTTAGATTGCTTCTCCATTGTCCCAAAGGACTAGGGGTCAATTTCTGGTCAGTGACCTGATTTAATGTGTAATAAATCTTCAATAGATCTCAAAATCAGGGGACCATTACTGCAATGTTTTCCATTGTGAAAATCTAAACCAGGGTTGAGTCTTGAAGACTTACATTTTGATGTTTAGCTGCTAGAGTGAGCATCTTGCATGGTAACTTCTTTTAGGTCCACAACATCGTCTTCTTGAATATTTCATTCCATCACTGGCCAAAATACAAATTCAGAAATATTTGCTAGTGAATATAACCTCTTATTTTCCTGCAGCTTAAAAACTGTGTAAATCAGTGCATGTGCTTCTAGATGTATCTGCATTTTATTTCAACACACACTGGTGCTGCTGCACGACTACTGCTGTATTTCTCAGTGCCTTCAACTCCATCACATCAGCCAACATTGTCTTTCAATCTTGGTTCATAAATCACCCTGCTGCAAATACTTGATTAGGGATCTAGTGTTGGGGCCAGTGTAATGCAGTTTCACACAATTACTTGTGATTGGATGAAGCATCTTTGTTGTTCTCCCTCAGGGAGCTGCTTTTTTTTGTTGTTGTTTGTTACCTCCCCAGTGAAACTGAATTTGCAGCTCTGAAGCTGTTTGATCAGCAGTTTGAAAATCATGCAGCGTCCAGAGTGAGATTTATCTAACTGGTAACTTTTAGAGTTTCAGTAATGTTTTGAAAGGAAAGCCTCGTTTATTTTCCTGAAAGCAGAGCAGCGGTGCTTCTGCCCGCTGCTCTGCACAGAATGAAGCACTGTTTTAAAATACACTCCAGATGTTTTGCACCCAATAAACTTGCATGTGAAATCTTATGAAATAATCAAATAATCATTTTTTGTGGAAATGATGTAGCTTCTCAGCACAACAGACAATGCATGCAGCAACTACAACAAACAGATCCAACAATTTTTCCTTACAGCTCAGTGAAGTTGTAGTAAAACTGGTACATTAGGTCATTCCACCCAGTCAAAACCTTGCAAAATGACTTCCTTTGCAGGCTCCTCTGTTTTAATTTCCTTCTTATAATTATTTTTTTTTTTCACACAGATTTCTTATTTCCACTAAGACACATTTTTTTTGTGTGTGTGGAATATTAGCACGTATTGAGTTCAGTAAGATTTAAACCCATTAATCAGTAATTAACTATGTTGTGTGTCCAAGCACAAAGACCATCTTTCAAAATGCCAACCTCCTTCCCGCAGATACATGGCCATCATCCACCCACTGAAGCCCCGTCTCTCAGCAAAGGTCACCATGGGAGTCATCGTCAGTATCTGGAGCCTGGCAGTGGTACTGGCTTTCCCTCTGTGCTATTTCTCCACCACTCGAGCTCAACCCCACAGAACCATCTGCTATGTCGCCTGGCCTCGCATGGAAGATGACCCCTTTATGTGAGGAAATATAATTTCAGAAAGATTATTTGTTTCTCTCAATGTAATTGTATTGGTTACAATGACGTGTAACACTATTAGTTTTTGACATTTGTCTTTTTCTTGTGAGAAAATGTAAAAATATAATCCTAGTCAAAAGTCTGACTGAATAATAAGCAACATTAATTAAAATTAAAAACAAGTATTTGGTAAATTCATTGGTAATTTCTTTGCTTTATCCACATCAGAAGGGTAGTTTTATGTTCAGTGGGAATCATTGCCTAGTTGGAAAGTCCAGTTACTGTATGTCCAAGTTTCAACCACCTTGCTATTGATTTCAGGTGATGTTGAAGTTGTCATATTTCTTAATTATCTTGCCATCTGTCTGCGCTGCACCACTGCCACTGATTGAAAACACACCTCACCATGATGCTGCCACCACCATACTTAAGCATCAATTTTGCTTCTTAGCAACTGCTTCCTGATAAATGTTTTTCTGCAAAGGTGTTTCACGATTCCTTCTGGGAAGCTGCAAATTTACTTGAAAGGGTTCTTCTTTTTTTTTTTTTTCTGATGCCATCTAATTTAGATCTGCTTTGATGTTAAACTTTCTTCACTACAATACTCATATTCTAGCATCTTTCATTTTATGGTCAGCTTATACTTAGTGAATCATGGATTATTCTCACACTTTCTTTCTGAGGTTGATCGTTTTTGATGAAGTGGCGTAAAAAATCATCAAAACTTGTTTTAGAGTAGCTGATCATGTTTGATTAAGAATTGAAATGCTGTTATCAGAATCCCCACTCAAAATAATTTCTGGTCTATGCCTAAAAGCTGTGCCCAGAAACCAACTAATTTAAATAATCTACAGAAATGATCAAGAACAGCCGTCAAATATCCATCTGCAATTACGCCAGAAGCTTCTTAATGGATAAAAAAAAAGTGTGTGATCAAGATGCCACTTGAAATGGAACGTTCAATCAAATATGCGTGAGGGTTTATGGTCAAGATGAAGTCATGAAAGCTTCTGAACAGGGCTGTAACAGGGCATTGTTAGCTGTGGAGTGAATAAAATTAATTCTGTCCCACCCGCCACCTTCTCTTGGTGCTTGGCTTGCTAAATTGGATTGCAGATTTTGAAATGGGAGCCGAGTTCAAAAGGATTGTATCCACTCTGTAGCAATGCAGACTGTGATTGCTCTACACTTAAACTGATTAGCCAGTACTTGCAAAGGATTAACCGCAATGTTTTAACGTGAACGTTTTTTTTATGTTCTCCTACACCCTGTGACATTTCCTTTCTTTCTTTCCCCTCAGGTATCATATCATAGTGACTGTGCTACTGTATGTGCTGCCCTTGGTGGTGATGGGCATCACTTACACCATCGTGGGGGTGACACTGTGGGGTAGTGAGATTCCTGGAGACTCATCTGACAATTATCATGGACAGCTCAAAGCTAAAAGGAAGGTAAGCAAGCGTAATGATGGTTTTTGCTTTTTGGATGGAAATGAAGCATGTGTTGCTTCAAACAGCAGCACAACTGAAAGCCGAAATGCCGCAAACGAGGAATAAACTATGCTTATTTGCCAGTAACAAACTTTCAGGTAACCTGCTCTTCTGATCTTTAATCATAAAATGAGCTAAGATCAAGATATTTGGAAGCAGTACTTTGGAATTTATTGTTCTTGTAAAAAAAAAAAAAAAAAAAAAAAAAAAAAAAAAAACTGACATTTTGTCATAATTCAAGCATGCCGAATAATTACAGGTCTCTGGACAAATGTGTATTTAAGCTTGCTTGTCTGTATGCAACTGGTGTGGCTGAAAGCATTCATTCTCCATTACCTTTTTTTGCAGGATGTTTCATGAAAGTCAATCCTGCAGATAAAGACATGAATACAAAACATCTTCATAAAATTAAAGGTTAAACCTTAAGGCCCTGTATAAGCTTTTAGTTACGTCTTAAATTGCTTTCATATTTCTTATGTAAAAGCACTAAGACTTTATTAAAACTAAAAAAAAAAAAAAATAAGACTACACCAAGTATATTCTAGACTTTGATTGCTTCAGCTAAATTAAACATCATCTCACGTCCTTCCAGGCATATTAAAAAGAGCTGAAATTTAGTACACTGTGCTAAAATATTTAACAATGCAGCCCACTTTGACGAATGTTCCCACCTAAAAGTGAAAATGTTGGCTCTGTTCCTTTATGGCAACCATGAATCTGTTGAAGAAGCAGGTATTGCTCTGTCAAAATTTCAGAGAACAAAAGCCTTAATTCAATGGACCCCAACTTTTTTGATTGTCATTTATTGTCAGTGCAACTGGACAGGCCTGTCTTCAGGGTTTATGAGTTTGTCTGCATGTCTAGCACCTTCTCCTCTATCCTGAGGAGTCAGCATCTACTTACAGACACGTCTTCATACTGGAGCTGTTGGCCACTATTACAGAGAACGAACACACGTGAGAAAACTCTGGAGCATGATTTGGGTAACAAATAATCGTACTTTCAGCATCATTGTTGTACTCTCTCTTTAAAAGTCATTGAATGAAACCATGTCCTTTTATGCCCTCTATTCGATTAAAAACATTTATTTTTTTCCTTTGGTTAGTTTATTCACATCTATTATTCATTAAATTTTAGGTGACATTATAAAGGACCTTGATATGTGGCAATTATTAAAACTGAAAAAATGTACTATTTAATCAGGTGTGACATCTAGGTGGTAATATAACTTCATGTGAACGTAACAGAACACCATATAGATATTCAGTTTTGTCAATAGTTGTTTATGTGTTGATTTCAAAGTTCTTTTTATTTATCTCTGAAGAAGAAATATGTTTACAAAAATAAACTGACTTATAGCATTCCACCCACTGAGTCTATGAGTGATGTTAACTAAGATGTGCTTCAGCACAGGAACATGAAATCATTTATTATACCAAAGGACTAACCCTAACCCTGTACTCATATCTTGGTAGCTTTGCTGCTGTACCATACTGTTTCCATTCCCGGATGACTAACCAGCAGTGCTCTTTACGCTTAATAAGTATATTTTCTAATCCTAATCCTGCTTGAACATCTCCACCACTTCATCCATGATCTGACTGCTGTGTGCTGGATCTCCACGATGCCTTTTGTTCACTCCAGTTTGCAATTATTGTATTATTATTATTATTATTTTGTGTTGGTCTGTCACAGAAAGCCGCTATAAAATATAATAAACTTCTCAAGGCACCGTACAGAGTCAAAACTTTTATCACCCTAGGCCCGCTTTATGTTCTCTGGGAATCGTTGCTCGTCTCCTCATGGTGTCCGTTACGTTTTTAGAGAATGGTTCTCGGGGGACGTCTTGCTGAGAGACTGAGCAAATCGATAAGTGAAAAGAAATTATTTTGTGCCTCGACGTGTGTGCTGCTCCTTGTGGAAAGGGTTTTGATTTAAATCCATTTTGTGTCAGCAGTATGTGCCAAGTATAGGTAGGTTTATAGGTCGGTACTCAGGCTCTGAGCAGAAGAGCTTTAAGAAAGAAGAAAACAACAGCAGGCAATGCTGTCAAAGTGTCAACAAATTAGGCATGTTTTATTTTCTGGACTTACAGTGACGTAAATTAACTTGTAAAGAAAAATACATTTTAATGAGTGCTAAAGGCAATTTGTTTTCACACAATATAATTAAGCAGTCAAAATGATTCATATTCTAGGCAACTGGTAATCTGTGTACTGGCTCATGGTTCAGATTCCTTCATTGATCATTGTTTTTTTCTAATTAACTCTGTGCTATTTTGCCGATTTTTTAAAAATCATTGTGACTCATTTATTGGAGAACAGAGCATGCATTGATGATCATTAATCAAACTGTATCTTTTAAAGCCATTTTAAATAACATAGAACACAAGGTTAACATTCTGATGCCTTCTCCACTGTTAGGGTGATACTAGACAAAAGAAAAGACCTGCATCTCTCAAAAGATAAAATAATGTAAAAGAAATGTCAATTTTGCAAACAATAATTTCAGCTTTTCTTTGAATTTTATTGCATTTGGCATGTCAAAAGATATTTTTTGTTGTATCTCACTATTGATAATTAATTCAAATAATCTTAATTAGCATTATCACAACCAGACCTTTTTTTAAAGTAATTTCTGACCAACATTTTGCCTATTTCACTAGAATCTTGAAACGTTGGGAGGCTCTCTTGTCATTACTGTAACCCTCAGCTTCATTTACTGAACCTCTATTAAAGTCTGTACTTTTGTTGTTCCACTCTGAAGTTTTACCTTCAGTCAGAAGAAAACATGCAAAGTGAAAAAAAAACTTAAAATAAAAAACAAGGAAATTCCTAATGAAATTTTGAAGGGGCCGTAGCATTGGATGTATGTACGAGTTTCAAGGCTTTTACTTTGTAGTCTTAATTTTAAATCCCAGTATGGTTGTCTTTTGAGGACAGTTTTAGCTCCATTAGTTACTTCATATGACAATTTTCTCAATTTATATTAAGTGTAGAATGTAAAAGTTAGGCTTTATTTTTTTTATTATTATTATTTTTAAATCATAAGCTTCATTTTTAAAAGTAAGCATAATAACACCTGTAACACTGGTTGATTTCCAGCAGCAGTGTTAAGCCCAATGCTGCAATGACTTACTGTGTGAAAAATGAAGGCTTTTATTTTGCTGAGTATGTTTAGGTCTTATTTTGCATTTTAAGGACTGGTTTAATTCCTATAGTAATATAGAGTGTATTTTATCATCAATGTGCTATTTACATCTTTGAAGCTGTAAACTTCCATGTATAAAATGTAACTTATAAACTATATTTGAAAGTCCCAATGACTGTACCTGTGGAGCTCTTTTTAGGAACTGCACACATTGCATATTCATTATCAGAAAAGTGCATAGCTCTGATTTTAAATAACACTGGTATGCTTCCATAAAAAACTTAACTTGTAAGTCCAGTTTTCCAGAATAGGTGTGAGCTCTCTGGTAACTTAAGATAAAATGAAATGCAGCTTAAAATTGTTGGAGTGCGTTAATCCTTTGCTGTTATATTATTCTTCCTAAAGAGAGCCAGCGCTCTGTTGCTATAGTGCTCTGCTCTTTCTGCAAATGCTCACGTGTGTATGTGTGTCAACGACAGGCACAGCTTGCCTGTTCCACAGAATCTACCTGCTCTAAGGTCCTAAAAGGGTCCAAATAAAACTGCACAAGGTATTTTAAAATTATTCAAACCGTGGGCTACCACTGTCCCTGGTCCCTAATCATGGAAATTGTCATAGCTGCAATCAATTTAAAGTTAAAGATAGGTCTAAAAGAACCTATCTTTCCATCACTGTGAAGCTCACCTGGCTTCATAGGGAGAATGTCACAGAAATACATAATACAGGGTTTCTGAATGTATTGATGTCTGCGCAGTCAGAAAGGATCACGCCAGCTGTGTGAGAGTGTGAAGCGGGGAGACTGAGTGAAAGAGACAAATCACTGCAGAGGACACACAGGGAGCTGAACTAAGACACAAGCAGATCCTCAAACCAAAGAGAAAAAGTCTAGCATAAATATGGAGGCAGAAAATCGAAATACGCATAAAAAGGAGCAAAAGAAATATGCAAGTAAACACAATGCAAAGAATTGAATATGGTAAACTACAATTATGACTCTCTCAATATGAAAATATAGCAGGAATAAATAATGATAACCAAAATAAAAATTAAAATCCAAAACCCAAGGATCATGTCAATAGAATGTAAAAAAAAAAAAAAAAAACTACCACTATAACAGTGGTGTGAAAAATGTCAAACTGTAATATTTCTTCAACTTGGCAGTTGGAAAGAAATTGTTATAATTTTCTCAGCTATGACTGCTAGAAAACAAAAAGCCATTTGCAGAGATGCTTAATAGAATAGTTTGTTTTGTGTAACACGCTGCTTGACATTTCATTGTTTCACCATCTTAAAAATATAAATTTTGTATAAGGTTGCAGAGGCCTAGTTTGTCTGCTGGGTGTTCTTGTTTAGCGACCTCAGTTTTATATTTGGTGTTTAAAGTTCATATATTCTTACTGTACAATTTGAAATTTGCTAAGGAGGCATCACTGCAAACAAGAGGCGAGAGAGCTTCACAATCAGAGCCTGATAGTAATGGAAAAAGCAGCCTGATGAAATCAGGTCAGCCGTCACCGACTTTGTGGAATAGTATTGATCAGCTTTTATTTCTCTGTTTAATGCTTCTTTCAGGCATTTTGTTACTTTTTCTATGAATGTACTGTGATAATAATGATCTGTCCCTCAGAAAGTCTGTTTCACAAATGCATTTTCATGATGAATAAGGGACCGTGGGGCTTCTTGTTTGGAAAGAGATCAGGTTAGGCAGATATATTTCCTGTTTGTGGCACAGTTGCTCTGAAGCTCAGCAGTACACAGACCCAGCAGTGCTTTGGGCCAAGTACCAACATCATTATCCTAACTAGTACACA